CAGAATGACAAATTATAAGCACTACAAGGGAAGTAACTGGGTGTTGGAACAGACATTAGTAGGTTGGCCAGAGAATGTCTCTTTAAGCAGATATATTAGCTGAAACCTAAAGAGAGAGTCAAGGAAGCAAGGAGCTTAATGTCATTAAGATACCAAAAGCAAGCCAGGGGGGCTGGAGCAGAGTGAGCAAGGAGAGAATGAGTGCTAGAAGATGAAGGCTGGGCAGGCTATGGTGAGGAATCTGGATTTTTATTCTGAGTTCAACTTCTTTAGGAAAATGGAAAATTGAACTCTATACTTCTGAATATGGAACTTAGAACAGTACTTGACATGTAGCAAGTGATCAATAAATGTTAGCCATTATTTTATATATATAAGTACCCAACTAGGACGGGCACCGTGGCTCACACCTGTAATCTCAACACTTTGGGAGGCCAAGGCATGCGGATCACGAGGTCAAGAGATCGAGACCATCCTGGCCAACATGGTGAAACCCCGTCTCTACTAAAAAATATAATAAATTAGTTGGGCGTGGTGATATGTGCCTGTAGTCCCAGCTACTTGGGAGGCTGAGGCAGAAGCATTGCTTGAAACCAGGAGGCAGCGGTTGCAGTGAGCCAATCTCACACCACTGCACTCCAGCCTGGTGCCTGGTGACAGAGCGAGACTCTTTTCTCAAAAAAAAAAAAAAAAAAAGTACCCAACTAAATTAGCAAGCATTGATCATAATAATGAAAATGAATGATTAAAACTTGAGCAATGAAAAAGATGGTCATTTACCTGATAAACATTGTTTTGATTTAGCAACTTTTCTTGTTTTGCCTTTTTGTATGTTTTGTAGAGATAGGGTTTTACCATGTTGCTCAGGCTGGTTTCGAACTCTTGGGCTCAAGAGATCCACCCCCACCTAGGCCTTCCGAAGTGCTGGGATTACAGGTGTGTCCGGCCTATTTAGGAACTTTTTCCATACAACTAGTCAAATTCCAGACAAAGCTGGTCAAATTCCACTTACAAAAGGGAACACTTATTTTTTATTGGTCCACTGATATTCAGCTTTCCTTTGTTTTCAAACAATAAAAGGACAGCATGGAGGACTACATTGTCAGTACCCTAATTTTAAAAACTGATGAGGTGTATCATTTTCATCTGCTCACGTAAACTGGCATAACTTTTACCACAGGTGGCCGTTTCTGAACTGAAAGTTACAGCTAATCAAACACTTAGCCCACATGCTTTGGTGATTTTAATGATATGATTTGTTGCTATGAGACAAAAACATGTTGTGTGGGAAATAATCTGTTAGAAATCATATGACCTTGATTCAAAGGCTTTTGATTAACAGCTTTCTGGAAAAGAAATAACCCCTATGATTAGAGCTTGGTAGTCCTTTTAAACCAAATAAAACATTATTAGCCATTCATTAATGGATATGGGAAGCAAAATGGCTTCAAACATTGAAAACTTCTCAAGATACTTTCAGCCCTTTCCTCATAAAGGCTTTTAAGGCCACTGGTAAAGCTTCTCTTTTACCTTGTCTTTCTCCTTCCTGCTTCTGGAGGGAGACACCGATTAAACAAACAAACAAAAAGCCCCGAAACAAATGGACAGCAGGTGAGAATTAGACAGCCTAGGGCAGCGGTCCCCAACCGTTTTGGCACCAGAGGCAGGTTTCATGGAAGACAGTTTTTCCACAGACTGGGGACAGGGGATGGTTTGGGGATGATTCAAGTGCATTACACTTATTGTGTACTTTTATTATTGTTACATTGTAATATATAAGGAATGAATTACACAACTCATCATAATCTAGAATCAGTAGGAGCCCTGAGCTTGTCTTCCTGCAGCTAGACCTGGGGGTGATGGAAGACAGTGACAAATCATCAGGCATTGGATTCTCATAAGGAGCATGCAACCTAGATTCCTCGAGTACGCAGTTCACAATAGGATTCGCGCTTCTAGGAGAATCTAATGCTGCCGCTGATCGACAGGAGGCAGAGCTCAGGCGTAATGCAAGCCATGGGGAGCGGCTATAAATACAAAGCTTCACTTGCTCACCCACTGCTCACTTGCTGCTGCGTGGCCTGGTTCCTAACAGGCAACAGACTGATACCAGCCTGTGGCCTGGGAATTGCGGGCCCCTGGTCTAGGAGACCTGTGCCCTAGAAAATGGTAATAGATTGTGCAGTCCTAAATGGCTTCTCTTTTTCTTCAAGTCAGCTTCGTAACTATTGAGCTTTCATTCATTCATCTATTGAGCATTCCCTGGGTGCCAGTACTATTCTTGGAGACGTGGTGGCAAGACGACACAGTCCATGCCTTCACAGAGCTTATATTCTAGTAGGGAAGGCAGGCAAGAAGTTGACAGGTAAAAGTCACGCTTACTTATGCAAACTCATGATAGGAACTATGAAGAAAGCAAAATAGGAAATGGGATAAAGTAACTGGGTGAAGAGGCAGGCCTCTTCGGAGAGGTGAAATTTGGGCTGAGCTCTGAGTGGCAAGAGTCAGTCTGTGAAAACCTAGGGCAAAAACATTCTGGACAAAGAGGGTGGCAAACTCAGGGTCCCAAAGGAGAGGACAAGTCTGGGATATTCAAGATGAAGCCAGAGCTTAGTGAGCCAGTGAGAGTGCAGTGGGAGGCAAGATCGACAAGGGCTGGGACCTGGTCAAGCAGGGTGGATTGTAAGTGCAATGGGAAGTCTCTGGAGGGGTCTATCTACAGCTGGGTTTGTAAAGGGCCTGCTCACACAAGGCTCATCAAAAAGCAGGGCTGGCCCCTACCTGGGGACCTGATAGCAGTGGCATTTTTTGCTGTTTTTTAAACTGGGGGAAAGGAGCAGTAGTGACCTGCCCTGTTGCCCTGAAACTGCAACTGGTGATGTGGACCCCCTGGAATATATCCACCCTGCCCCCAGAAGGCTCCCAAGGCGAAGCATGTGCAGTAGATCTTGTGCTAGGCTACAGGGGTCTCTGTGGGCTGTCCCTTCAAGTCCCGGTCTCCTTTGTCAGCCAGGTGCAGGGATAGACCTACGCAGATCCCTCTCTCCTCCTCCGCTTCTTTAAGCCCCTACTACTTGTCATGAGCAGGCTTAAGCAATATCAGGACAAGGGTCATGGGGTCCTGCCAGGAGACAGTCTGGGTTGGAGGGGCGTGGTCACTTTTGCCAGAAGAAGCATGATCGGAAGGACCCAGTTGGTGTCACGGGTCAAAGCAGACAATAATAGATTGAGTCCAGGGAATCTGACCATGTTTGAGAGACTAGCTTGGGCACATCACCAGGTCACCCAAATAAGTTTCCTGAGTCCAGACAGTGGGAACCTGGAGGAGGCCACACTACTGAATGTGCATATTATTTGTCTTTTGTTCTGTACTTGAGGCTGTCATTCCCCTGAATGTTACTTTGAAAATGTAGATGGCTCCTGACTGCTTTACCAAACTAAGAATACAGTTCTTTTTTTTTCCCCCCGAGACAGAGTCTTGTTCTGTTGCCCAGGCTGAAGTGCAGTGGCGTGATCTTGGCTCACTACAGCCTCCACCTCCCAGGTTCAAGCGATTCTCCTGCCTCAGCCTCCTGAGTAGATGGGGTTATAGGTGCCTGCCACCATGCCTGGCTAATTTTTGTATTTTTAGTAGAGGCAGGGTTTCACCATGTTGGCCAGGCTGGTCTCAAACTCCTGACCAGCCTGGCCAACATAGTGATCCACCCACCTCAGCCTCCTAGAGTGCTGGGATTACAGGTGTGAGCCACTGCACCCTACCTTAAGAATACAATTATTAGCCACATTCTCACCCTCCCCATTCTGGTTTCAACCTACCTTACTAGTCACTTTTCTGTTTACTTGCCAGTTTTATTTTGCTGTGCATCCCTGTCTGTATCCTACCTACACAGCAGGCAAACACGGTTATTACTTTTATAATCAGAAAAAAAATGTTAAGACCAATGAGAGTTTTTTTTTTTTTTTAAAGAAAAACCAGGTTCCTTCTGGTCCTAACTAGTTATGCCTCCTCTTGGATCGTCTTACTGCCTATATGGGTAGCGGTGACGGTGCTCGGATCACTAGGAGGTGCTCACTGTTCATCTTGCAGGGTTACCATTCGGCTCTCTTCAGTCCTCACATTTCCCAACACCTTAGCCCCTTTGCACCTGGGCCATTCCCTCAGAGCTCTTCCCTCTCACCCCTACTTGGTTCCCTGCATCTCTCCTCTGGGCTTTTAGTTCCATTCTTTTTCCTGGTCAGGCAGGTTGCCTTTCCTTGGCGACCCTGCTGCTCCTGGTCCTGGCTGGGACCCACTTTCTCCCCGGTTGCACATTCACATAAGTCACTGCCAGCTCTGGCTTTGCTCTGAGCCCTGCCCTCTTCAAACAGCCCTGGCTCCAAGTGCACATAGGCTCTAGCAGGAGAGGACCAAGGAAGTTGGGGGGTGTTGCCAACTGGTTGGCTAGTTCCCAGGAGGATGAGCCAAGTTTTCATTCATTTACCTCTTCTTAAGAGGAGTGGAGTGTGTGTGTGTGTGTGTGTGTGTGTGTGTGTGTGTGTGTGTGTGTGTGCGCGCGCGCGCACATGCACATGTGTGTCCACTTAAGGGAGGAAAGGACAGAGCAGTGATTCCACATCTATCATACAGATAATTTTTCCTAGCCTTGGGTGTAGGACATGAAGGAAATTATGGTAGGAACAGTGGTGTCAAAGAGGTGCTTCATGGTTGGATTTTCCTAAGTATCCCACAAAAAGAGGAGCCCATGTAGAGTTTTTTGAAAAGTTTTTCCATTCGAATACCGAACTGGTGAATTCACAGATGTTTTTATTTAGGACAAAGTGAATTTCAAGAAAACTGTCAAGTAATTAACAGTGGAGAAATATGGCAAACATCACAGAGGTGGTAACAGATATCTGGACCCCTCAGCTGGTATCAAGACACAAATGAGCATGGAGCTTTCCACTCCTAGCATGGAGCTAGGATTGATGTTCCCTATTCTCTTTGTTGTCTTCACCTACAGATGGCCATGACTACCCTCGAGCAGCCTACCAGCAAGTGATTCAGCCGGCTCTGCCCGGGCAGCCCCTGCCTGGAGCCAGTGTGAGAGGCCTGCACCCTGTACAGAAGGTTATCCTGAATTATCCCAGCCCCTGGGACCAAGAAGGGAGGCCTGCACAGAGAGACTGCTCCTTTCCAGGGTTTCCAAGGTACCAGTAAGTATGACAGGCCCAACCTTCAGACGTTTTAAACGTGGAAAGCAGTGAAGATATAACAGAATTCTCTACAGGTTTGCTAACCCATGTTAGTGAGCAAGTCACATAGTGGAACACCCAATATAGACTTTTCAGGTCAGGAGGAAACGGAAGCTGGTTGACAAGGATCTCTTTATCAGACAGAAAGCCACTAGTGACTAGTTGAAATTCTCTTGCAAGAAAGACTCTTCGGATGTTTTCCAAGTTACACCCCTTTCTTTTATTTTCACATCATCTGAACTTTCAGTCCACAAAATAGATTTTTGTTTTTACTATGGCTGACTTCTACTGTTAGCCAGTTCTTCACATGTCTAGTCTGTTCCTGTTTAAGCCTATTTCTTACTTTAAAATTTTAAATTCAATTTCCCATCAAAATTTACAATTACCTGTTTTTTTCTTTTCTTTTTTTTTTGAGATGGGGTCTCACTCTGTCGCCCAGGCTGGAGTGCAGTGGTGCGAACTTGACTCATTGCAACCTCTACCTTATAGGCTCAAGCCATCCTCCCACCTCAGCCCCTCGGTAGCTAGGACTATAAGCATGGGCCACCATGTCTAGCTAATTTTTGTGTATTTTGTAGAGATAGAGTCTTCTTATGTTGTCCAGCTGGTCTTGAACCCCTGGGCTCAAGTGATCCACCCACCTTGGCCTTCCAAAGTGCTGGTATCATAGGCGTGAGCCACTGCGCCTGGCCTACTAGTTTCTTTTGTAATAAAAACATTCATACACGGCCGGGCACAGTGGCTTATGCCTGTAATCCCAGCATTTTGGGAGACTGAGGTAGGCAGATCACCTGAGGTCAGGAGTTCGAGACCAGCCTGACCAACGTGGAGAAAACCCGTTTCTACTAAAAATACAAAATTAACGGGGTGCAGTGGCGCATGCCTGTAATCCCAGCTACTCAGGAGGTTGAGGCAGGAGAATCACTTGAAGCCAGGAGGCGGAGGCTGTGGTGAGCTGAGATTGCGCCATTGCACTTCAGCCTGGGCAAC